TTAATTTAAATATGTATGAAGAAGAAGAACATGGTCAGAAAACAGAAAGTGAAAGAACACTAAGATCTAAAAAAAACTATTCATTATTAAAGAAGCAAAACCAGCAATAAAAGTTAATAATTAGTTTTATAATCAATCCCTTGAGCTAAAAACTTTCGCTACTTTTTATTTCTTCTTTTTTGTAATTAAGGGTGTCAGCTTCCAACAGGGATGGAAATACTGCAGCACTTAGATTACAAACAATCATTTTTGCCTAGAACATCAAAAAAAGCCACTATTCTTGCTTGCCCTCTTCAAAAAAAGTTACAAAGTTGTGCAATAGAAAGTAAGTGTGAATGTATTTTGGCCAAGGTAAAAGAACCATGGATTTATGGAGCTATGAAGTAAAGCTGGATTTTCTATACTAAACGATCAAAGTCTAGTGAAAAATCTTTCAAATCTAGGCAATATATATTCAAAACTTAAGAAGCATGAAAAAAATCTCCTGCAGATTCGGCACAGCAACAAGAGTTTAAAGTTTACATGAATAAAATTTTTTGGGCTGGCATTCCTGACCTTAGAAATACAATCAAAAATGACAAAAAAAGATCTGATTCAGACAAGCTTGAGGGTTTGGAGTTTCTGGAGGACTAAGAACGGGAAAGAAAGTCTATACTTGAATGAGAAGAAAAAAATTACAAAAAAAAGTATGGATTTTTTTAAAAGGAAAAAAAAAAAAGATTTGCAAGGTTTTCTAAACAACTTACTTACAATTTACCACTTTAAAAGATTTAAAATAAAAATAAGTAAACAAAAATAATGATGTTCACTCACAATTTCAATTTCTCGTGTAACTAAATTAAATTGTTAATTATTAAATTCTTTTGATATTTTTAGGCAACAGTGAGTAGCAGAAAGAGAAAGCATTGTGTGAAACAACAATATAAAGAATTAGAGGGGACAACTAATGTTAAGATTGATACGGATACTAGTGAGGACTCCTCTCATGATTCTGATTTTTATCCTGGAGAGTGGTTTGAAAGAAAACCTTTTCAACAAAAAGTCACTGCTGAAATTCCCATAGACTTTTTTGCTGGTAATGTAGCTCTTATGGCTGAATGACATTTCTTCAAATGTTTTGCATAAAGATACAGATGCAATTCTAACTCAATCAGGAGCTAATCTGACAGATTTTAAATGCAGCCAGTTTACAGCAGCTAGGAAAATGAAATATGCCATTCGTAATATATGCATAATATCAAAAGAAGATGTTCAACAAGCAATGAATGAATCCCCATACTCATGCATAGTGCATTTTGATGGCAAAACATTAAATGAACTAAATAAAGGAAAAACAATTAAAACTGATAGACTGGCTGTACTTGTAAATATTGAAGGTGAGACACACTTGCATAAAGTACCCCCTTTAGCGTCATCCTCTGATGAAGATTAGTGCAATGGTGTAATGGACCTTTTTAAGGAGTACAACCTTGAAGCCAAAGTAGGAAAAATATGTTTTGATACTACTGCAAGCAACACTGGGTTAAAAAAGGTTCTTTAATAAGAATATCCAATAATATAGGCAAATATCTTTTACTTATTGCATGCAGACATCATGTATGTGAATTAAGAATGGTTCATTTTTGTAATTCAGTTTCAGATAAACATTCTACAGGACCAGATAATCCTATGTTTAAAAAATTAAACAACGTTTTTGAATGTCCTCATTTTAATTACAATTAAACAGAACTAATAAAGTTTGATTGGAAAGCAGTAAAGGGAATCTTTCTTGAGAAAGCTGCAGAAGAGTCTTTCAACTTTTGAATACATCACAAAGTCACAAAATGAAAAAAAAATGATCAGAGAAGATAAAAAGGAGCTTTCAGAACTTGTTGTGAGTTTTTCCTTTCTCTGTCTTCAGTAAAACTAAGAAAACCCGGAGCAGTTCATCATGCTAGGTTCTTATCTAAAGCACTTTACTTCCAGAAACTACTGCTTCTATCCAGCCGAATTGAGTTCGTAAATAAGAACAATAAACTCAAGGCAGAAATCAGGCTAATAAGTGAATTTACAGTTTGGATTTATGCCAATGGTATTTACAGGCTAATGACGCTATTAGAGCTTCCTTTCTTGATATAAAAGCAAAACACCAAATGCAACAGTACCAAAAACTTTGTGCCAAATCAGGTGCTGTCGATGCAGTTTTAAACTGTCAATATAAACATAGTTGGTATTTAGATTCAACAATGATTCCTTTAGCTCTGTTGGATGATGATTTGTCATTTGAGGAGAAAGTAAACCTTGCAAAAGTAATTCTAACTTTTAAAATGCCGATTTTAACTTGGTACAATACTAAAAACAAATCAAAAATAGATATAAAAGATAAAACAAAAATTGGAAACGTTAGTGAAAATCCTTCTTCCCTTGCTCTGTTGGTTGATGAATTTTCATATCTTATGTTTGATAGAATTGGATAAGAGGAACAAAGGATAAATTGATAGATTGGCTTTTGCTTCCCCCT